TATTGTTGTTAGAAATGTAAAGACAGTAGAATTGTTTGTTGGATGCAAAACCTGGAATGAATTTCTGTCCATGGTTAGTCATAATATTTAAAGCCAAAAGGGCCACCAGATTTAAGTCTGTGAAATACAGAAATATTTCTTTCTTTTTTCCTCTCAAAAGTAGGCCTGGTGGAATCTTAATATCTCCCCAAACCAAAACAGATTTATCATGGACATGTGTATCTCTCCTATTCAAATATATTCATCAGTAAGGATATGGAAAGCCCATATCAGCTATATGTTGTTTGTTCCAAAAAGTTGGTATTCCACATATACAGGGATTCTAATGTAATACATTAACTTTGTTAGCATCTGATTCGGGGGGGCTGTTCATGGAGTAACATACTACTAAAAAAATGAGGGTGGCAGAATTGGGTCTGTTGTGATTCTATACAGAAGCCTGGTGACCTATAATGGGTTAGGACCAGATTTTTAAAGGTATTTAGGCACCTAAAGGTACAGATAGGCACTTTTGAAAATGCCTAACTCCCAATCAATAGCACCTAGAGGCCTAAATATCTTTAAAATCTGGCCTGTAAGTCTTAATCAACCACAACTGATATTTTACTTTTAACACCTTGAGTGAAAGCTAGTGTGTTTGACTGTAACATCCAGGTTACAGATTTTAATTCCATTTACTGAGTGCTCTTTTCTTCTTTCTTTTTTCTCTAATTGGATGTAATCCAAGTACAAAGTACCACCCAGTTAAAGATCCGTACTTTAGTCCTTATTCAAGCAAATCTCCAAGTGTCTGAATGGGAATTTGACTAAATAACAGCTGCAGGATTTGGCTTTAAATTGCCCTCTAGAATGTTTGTGTGACTTTACTGACCCAAGTTCATATATTTTGAGAATTACTCTTAGCATTACTAAACTATTTTCAGATGAAATGTAGTATGTGCATTGTACTTAATTAATACTTACATTTACAAAACCAGATGCTCCCCCTGGTAGTCAGATGAAAGTTATAAAATTTGTGGGACTACTTGCAGATTGAAGTACTAATCCATGTAAGTAAGTGTGGCAGAATCTGGTCCCTTGTATTTTACATTTTTCAAGTGCAACACAAATATTAAGCTGTTCCCTAAACAACAGGAACTTAACTGTTAGCAAGTGTATAATACAAAGTAAGGATCTCACACACGCATTTCCAGTTTGTTAAAAATTGTGAACTGTTACAAATGCAGTTGAGTGAAACTTACATTTTTCACAAAATGACTCTCTCACAAAATTCTGAGCCATTTACATCTCTGAAATGTCACTTCTCACTAAATTTTGTGAAATGGCTAATTCCTCATCCAGACGTGAAAAATGTCAGTCCAAAAAGGTATCTGTTTGTTTTAAAGACTCTTAAAATCTTTAGTGATTGATTGTTTGAAAATAGGATTGCTAGCATGCTTCATATGCTTTAAGTGGCAGTTCCTCCAAAATTGCTGTTAAAGCCCCTGATTTATCTCGTACTTCACTTCTCCGCATATACTTAACTGGACTATATGGAAGGGCTGAGAGAGAATGTTATCCGTAGTGCCACTCCATGAATTTTCAGATGAAGTGCTAACAGCACCTTCGGAGGAGGAGTAATTTATTTAAACTTACTCTTCTTTGTGCATTTGGATTCCTAGATATCTACCTGCTTGCCATGTTTAACAGTTTAGATAATTTGGATTTTCTATAGTAATTCAAATTGACAGCAGTGTGATCTCCATGAGGTGCCAGTTTTATGTAATCATAGAAATTTGGAAAGAATAGGTTTAAATATTATAATTAGAAAATGGAAATGAACATCATTTATTTGTTAAAATTGCACCAGCAGAAAAACATGTACTTTTATTAACCCAGCTCCTTTAATTATTAAAACGTATCCAGTTAAAGTATAAGCAGTAGTTACTGGCACTTTTTTTGTATTTAAAATTAAAGTGTCAAATTAGTGTTTCAGACAAGTTATGGCTTAACAGCCCTTAAATCCAATGTAGTCTCTTTTTCCTCATAATTAGTACAGCACAAGATAGGATTGGTACAAGCATCTTCTCACTACCCTGCCAATTTGTCTCGCTCCTGATTTTGGAGACATTGCTTGCTGAGAATAAATTGGTCTCTGCCTGAAATGCTCATTGAGGATGTCAGCATGTGTAAATGGTTTTCATTGGACCACTCAGTACCAGAAACTACAGTAGGGCTCTTGGAGTTGTTTCCATTGGGCCACAAAGCAGTGCTTTCTGCTGTTACTGACCTTTGTGGTGTTTGTGCTGATCACATACAAATGAAAGTCTCTAATTCTGCAACAGCCTCTGCAAGGACTGACTCTTCTGCCTTTAAGGAGTTCCACTGAGGTCAGTGGAGCACAGGGTTCTGCCCACATGGATCAAGTTGCAGAATTAAGGCTTATCTCTCTTTACAAATCTCCTGAACAACTTAGTTTCTCTATTTCTGACTTTTAGAATATTCAGGTAAATTTCTTGCCCCAGAGTATGTTACAAATATTAGCCTGTATGTGTCAGACTGATCCTTGGCATTAAAGGGTTGGTTGGTTTATTGATTTTTTCAATCATAATTTTATACACATAACAATGAATATCATTTTTAGTAAGTTTATAGTAATGTAGCTTTAAAATTGTTTTCCCACTTAAGGTATTAGTTCATTAGCTGGGATGCAGGACCCATAGGGTTGTAGTGGGGCCCATACGCAACAGTGTGTCAGAGCAAAAGAAATACATGGCCTGCCTGCCCTGGCAGGTCTATGAGAAAAGATCATGAAGCCAAACCAATTAAGTCCAAGATCGTCTTGCTTACCTGGGTGGGAAATTAGTCTGTTAGGGGAAGTAGACTGCCAGACTGTAAATGAGCAGACTGAGAGGAAAACCAGAGATTCTGTAATCTGCACCTGAATGAAGAGTCTATTCAGGGTCCCTTATAGGTTTTATATGGGGTGGTAAAAGACCTGGTCCACACTTAAAATTTAGGATGACATAGCTACAGCACCCAGGAATTCAAAATATCCACACCTCTGAGTAGCATAGCTATGCTGAACTAACCTCTAGTGTAGATGCAGCTAGGTTGAAGGAAAAATGCTTCCTTTGACCTAGCTACGATTGCTCGGGAAAGTTGTTTTCCTACAGAGATGGATAAACCCTTTCCATTGTGTAGGCTGTGACTACACTATGGGGTTATAGCTACAGCACCATAACTATGCCAATATAATCCCCTATTGTAAACATGGCCAGAGTTGTCAGATTTGCAATTTCTTTAGTCCTGATCCACCCTGTTCTGACTCTCAAATTTCCTATGCCAAGGAAATAATCTTGTTTCGCTGATGGTGTGGTTGGGGATGAGGGTAGGTGGTGGGTATTTGCTGCTAGAGGGCCTCCTATTCTTCCATATTGAGGCTGTGATGTCATTGGAGGAGGTTTCTTGCTTTTTGCTGTGAAAGCTATAGAGAACACAATCATCTAAAACTGGAGAAGACTGATAGCTGTGACGAGCCACCAATGACCAGAAAATGGGACAAGGGAATTCCAACCTGTTGAAAGTCAAAACTGTTTACTTAAAAGAGAAATTGTGTGTGGACAGTGTGTAATGTATATGTTAGGGCTATCTTGATCTGTAAAAGAGTATAGAGGATAATGAATCTCAATTCTATATACTTACCTTAAAGGGACCATTTTAAATTCATTTTAATTCATAAACTAATTCACAGATGTCCTTGCAAATTCCCTTTAAAATTCAAAGAGTTAAGTTCTGGAAGTTTGAGGAGCATACACTGTATTCTTCATACATAAAATGCTATGTCCATCCTACAGACTTCTGCTGGCATAGCTGTCAGTCAGGGCATAAAGAAGTGTGATCCCTGACTGATATAGGCTCATTTATACCAGTGAAAATGTGCTCTTCACAGGAATTGTTTTTTTTTTTTCCTTTGGGGTGGTGGAATAAGCTAGACTGGCTCTGCTGATATAATCTGCAGCCACACTAAGAGCTGGCCGAAGTCTCGTGAAGCCATAGCCTCAGCCTTCACAGTGGAGTTCTGACGAGGCTTCCGTAATACAGGACTGTATCCAGGGTTTCTATATTTAGATGTAATAGGGTTTGAATTAAAAAAGTGTCATGGTAAAAGTTAGCTTTTTAAATCTTGTAAAAATGTACAGTCTATGTACTTCTATTGTGTCTGTGCTTTTAATAAAACCCTCAGTGCCTCTACAAATGAAGTAGCTGCTATAACTTGTTTTCAGAGGACTGATAATTTTATATATAAAGAAATATAGAGCTGAGTCCTCTTTCATCTTCTAAGGCAACATTATCAATGGGAAGTGAAAAATGTGAAAATAAAATTGTAGTAAAACTCATTGTTTTGTTTTAATGACTGTGTTTTCACCAATGCAATAGAAAACACCCAACTCAGTAGAGAGGTCATGTGAAATATGTTTGACTAACACATTTTTAGAATTCAATTTTGAAGATACCAAGAGGAGAAGTAATTGAAGTCTTGTTTATTGGTGAGATAAAACTGAGAAACAATTCAATTTGGGTATAGGTTCACTTTCTTCCTTCTGCCTCTATATCTCCTTTGTACACCACCATCATATATGCTCTCCCTAACCAACCAATATATACTGTACTGTGTGGGCAAGTTTTCTGTTGCATCCCATCCTTGTGTTACATTTATCCTCCTCTGGGCGCTTTGAAGCTCAGAATATAAAAGAAATTATTTTCTTTCTGACAGGTAGCTGTTATTATGTAATGAACTGCAGCTTTTCTATGCTATGCCTCCACCCAATTATGTAAAAAGTACAGCTTCTGGTGCTGTTTCCAATGTGAAAGTGAAAAAACCTGTCTTCAGAGCAGAAGTTGATTCCGTGAATGATGCATGTTTGATCACGCTTGATCAAATACAGTATTTCTGAATGTCAGATCAATGCACTGCTTCTGATAATTCCATAACAGGAGCTTTTCTTTTCCTCCAACAGTTACCCGGCTGTATGTGAATTCCTCCAGCACAATAACTTGTTATCTATACTCAGAGCCCACGAAGCTCAAGATGCTGGGTAAGTGTGTGGAGGGGGAGGGGGGCTCTTGCTTGATAAATAAACATTATTCATACCCATTGGCTTTTATAAGGAAAGAGTTTCCCTGAATCAGCAAGTAAAATAATCCATTTTAGCAGTCTTCCAAATTAAAATGGTAAAGTCCCCAAAACCCCTTATTTTATATTTTTAGTGTTGTTGACTTAGGGGCGATGTTCTTTAATTAAAGTCGTGGCAAAAAAAATCTCACTGTTGCTGCTAATTCCCTAAACCACCTCCTCTGACCTGCCTGAGAACAGTTCAGACATAGCTGGCCTTATATACCTTTCTTCTGAGTCGTGACTAACGGGGAAAAAAACCCTGAGGCCTCATCTGTCACTAAATACTACTACCTTACACTGTCACAGACCCCTAAACATCACAGTGGACAAAGAGATGTGTCATGACATTGGGAGACTCTATGTCCTGGAAGTCCAGACTGACAGAGAAGCTTCAGACTCCAGCATGGGTTTCTTAAAACTTCAATGTGCACCTATCACCATGTCACTGTAGGTCACAACTGAGAATACCAAATTCAGGACAAACTGCTGAGAAATAGGTCCAACACACTCCAAAACTGGTGGTTATTCTCCCATAAGATTTACCAAACCAGCAACAAAAGTAAACTTCTGTTTCACCACCCTGGCTAACAAGAAGTCGGAAAAGCAGTCCCCTTAGGCATTCCAGTCCTGGATTCAACACCCAGACACTAGACTTAAAGATGAGTGGTTCTTTAAAACCAATTTCATTAAACAAAAGAGTTCTTCTGATCCCAAAGGACCAGCCACATACCCAGGTCAATAACTCAGATCTTACCCAATAACCATGCTGTTGGCAATCCTTTAGTATCTAAAATCTAAAGGTTTTTTTTTATAAAAAGAAAGAAAGGTGAAAGTTAAAATTGGTTGAAGGAATCAAATGATTACAATAAATGCACAGTTCTCGGATCAGGCTTGTAGCAGTGATGGAATAAACTGCTGGCTTGTTAAGACTCTGATTGCTTCCAAACCATTGGAAGGTCCTCAGTCCCTTGGTTAGAATGCTCCTATGAGTATAAGCTCATAGTCAAGAGGTTTGAGCAGGAAAGAGACAACATGGCGATGTTTCCAGGGCCTTTTATAGCTTCTCTCCAGTGAAGGGAAACCCATTGTTCTCACTGTGGAAAATTACAGGTGACAAGATGGTGTTTGGAGTCACATGTCCATGCATGATTTCACTTAGTCATAGCAGGAAAGTCCATTAATTGTAGATGGGCGTCTTCCATGGTGAGTTAAGTGTTCTTCAATGTGCCATTCAACTTGAATAGTTCCTTCACAATGTGCTGGCTTGTGAGTGCTACCCAGAAGCAAATATTTGAAATACAGCTATAGAGCCAATACTCATAACTTCAGATACAAAAATGATACATGCATACAAATAGCATAATCATAACCAGCAAATCATATCCTTTCTATAGACACCTTACTTGACACACTTTGTACAAGATTTGTTGCACTTACATAACAGTGGTAGCAACAATGATCTATTCTACATGATCATATTTTATCAGATAAAATCACAGCACCGAAGAGGAAATGGTGTCATTTTGATTAGGAAAAGTATTTGTTTCCAATATATACCACAGAGCAACCTTTTGGATTTCACCTATACTGGTACACAGGGTGGGGAGAATAGCACGAGAAGCCTTCTCACACCCTGTTACACACAGCCCACTCTCATCATTCGTCCCAAGGTGGCTGGGAGTGGGGTGAGCCCATGGCCCTGACTGCTCCCACCCCCACCTCTCCACAAGCCTGTAGGAGTGAGAGAGCTAAGCTATTGTAAAGCATAGTGCAATACGCACACTGAAATTCCGAAAAGCTATTACAATGAATCGGTGTGATACTTTTCCTTACTTTTGTGGATAATTGCCAATTATTAGAAATTATTAGAGAACTAGTGTGCTGTATTGGGTATTACTTCTGCCTTGCTATGGGGAAAATTCCATTTTGTTGGTTTGCTTCCAAATTCTGCAGGTGTCCCATTCCGTTACTGATTGATTAAATATTGCTCTGCTGGGACAATATGCCTTTGGTCTGCATAAGCCAGCAGGGATGAGTAATGAAAATGTATAGGCATTAGCATGCTAGTCCATGGACTGGACAAGATTTGACATTCCATTGTGAAGCTAAGCTTTCTTTCCATAGAGGAAAGTATATTTCTGGGTGATACTGCTTTGCATGGTTGTCAAATGATATAGTTTGTAATTTCATGAATGTGCTTTATACTTTATTAATACTGATTTTGAAGCATAAAACTCTGTTGGGGGGAGGTTACTATAGTAATGCCTGTGTCCCATGGTGCTCCAAGACATCTGAATTAGTTTACCTATTCTATCTCTCTGAGTATTTTTTAATCCCTTTGCAAATTTATTTTGAGAAGAACCCTCCATCAATAGATGAAGGGCGAAAACCTGATCCCCTTGAAGTCATTGGCAAAACTCCCAATGACTTTAGGGAGCCCAAGATTTCACCAGGAATGTCTAGTGCTCCTCGTTAGTATTTTCTTTCCTACCACACTTTGCATGCTTGGGTTTCAATCGTTAGGAACCAGCAACTAGTGTAGCTGCACTGGTACAAACAACATGGAAAGTCACAATTTGCGCCATTTGAGTTTACCTCTGCTTGAAATCATGGTAATCCCAACTGTAGGCAAGTTCTAAATCTATAGCAAATCCTTCATGCATAGCTTTAAACATAATTTATTTCTGTTGTTGCTTGTAACTTCACATGGTAAAACCATTGGGAGTGACCTGTTGCTTTTCTTGGCCTGAGATAAGTCAGTGACATGTTGTACGCTTAGAGCACTGAACAAATGATTAATAATACTATTACTAATATAACCTGTCATTTCCTTTAGGTATCGTATGTACAGGAAAAGCCAAACAACAGGCTTCCCTTCACTAATTACAATTTTTTCAGCACCAAATTATCTAGATGTGTACAATAACAAAGGTAAGAGAGCTCTCTTCCTTCTGTTGATGCACAGTAGTAGCATTATCTCTTTACTCAAACGTTTTATGCAGTTTCCCATTTTTGATTCTTTGCGTTGACTTTGTCCTTTTATTAGTTCATGCTTGTTTACTTCGTTGCACCATGTAAATTTAATGAGATGAATACCAATCAGGTGTGTGTGTGTGTATATATATATATATATATATATACACACACACACATTATATATATATATATACATTCTGATAGCTACATACTTTTATATTTCTGTCTTGTATATCCTTGGATACATTTGGATTTTGAGTGTTGGTTGTTAAGTAAAACTTTATTTGGAGAATTAAATTGCTAACAATTCTAATAACCGAAGGAAGCATTTTGTAAAATCTTATGGTTGAGATTTTCGAAGCCATCTGCTACTTTTTAAAATAGGCCGTCTGGCCCTTTGTTACTTTGTAAGATTAATGGGAGTAATATGGCAAACTCTGTCATAATATAATCTAGGTTCTAATAGAGCCCATAGTATCTGAGCATCCTATTTCATGTTTTGTTTTGTTAATCATTTTTACATGTAGTGCAAAGAGAGGGAAATATATATAAATAAACAAAGTCTGCTGCTTAAATAATATACTAGCCACCCTGTGAAGACTCAACACAACCTAAATACAAGTGGATGCAGCTTACATTAAGTTACTACAACAGTCACTACAGCACTTACAGTGACTGTAAGTTTCCCTAATGAGTTGCAGAAAAAAAGCTGTTCTAAATCAGAGCATTCCAATAACTCCTACTGCTAAATCCAATATACACATCAGGATAGCTTCACTTTCTGCTACTCCAGTTGGAATAAAACTAGTATGCTTTGGTAGGTGAAAGAAAATATGGGGACTATAAAGACTTCCATAACTACTTTTTCCTTACCATGTTAATGAGGATAGTTTCATTATAAACTACCATTTCCATGGTCCCAACCTATTAAACCCATTAGAAGGTGTTTAGCTTTCCTAAGGGGACAGATGGGATTTTCAGTCCTTGCCCACAGACAAAGAAAGTATTTGGTATAAAATGTGCAAAAGAAAAAAGAGACTTCAGAACTAGCATGATTTTAATAGGTTATTGTATAAAACTTCTAAGCACTTTAAAAAGCTATTATGCAAATGCTTTAGTCTTTGTGAGGGAAGAAATTGGTTCACTGCTAGAAGCTAGATTTAGCATATTTTGGCATAATACAAATGCATGTTAACGTGCAAAAAAATTATTAAAGGTACAATACCAGCAACATCAAAGCCTTGCTACCAGTATCTATCTATGCAGAAAGTAAAGCATGTAGGAACTGTGCTTAAGCAAATATATTTTGAGTCCTAGCAACATAGATCAGCACAAGAGACTTAGGAATTGCAAGTGCAGTAAAGACAGCGTAAGGCAGTATTGCAGCATCAACAGTGCAGGGGAAAGAAAAGTGTTATTTGTGGGGGAGAGATTTCTGATAGAGCGTATAACAGTAGTTGCCCTTAGCAGGTCCATAGTAGTAAAGTAGGTTGGACCAGCATTTCGGATTTGCCTGTAATTGTGTTTCTTAAAGTGTTTGTATTAGGAATATGGGGGTTGGCAGTATAGGCTTTTGTCACTATGGCAAGCATTTGACACACAAGAACAATGATAAAAATAGAACTTAGCATCTGAATTTTAAATCCCCAAATGTCAGGGGATGAACAGAGGAATGTCCCTCTATCGTATCAGTCTCAGAAATGAGTCATTTTATTTGTTCCATGATTCCTAGGTATGACAGACCATATATTAGATAAGATTACCCTTTCTGATAAAGAACCCTTATGTGCAACTACTGCTGCAAATTCTGATTATCTACAACTGCTGTTGACATTCAGGTGCTCAGTTCCTCTCCCTATTTGGGCCAAGTGAGCTAATGTCAAATTAACAATGGATTAAGATCTGCTCCAATATGACAGAGAGTCACCCTCTTTAATGTGTTGCTTTTAGTGAATTTAAGGCTGACCCTAAATATCCTTCTAATGAATTTTTGTCAGAATTTCTTGCAAGGGAAAAAAACTCTTTTTCCTGAGATTGAGATGACTGGTTAAGGCATTCCAAGTGTGCTATAGAAACTTTTTCACACTGCATTGCTTGTGCACCTCAGTCTTGACTGCAATCTGCTGCTGGCTCAGTCCAGGGAAAGAAAATGCCATGATTCTGAATTTTATGGTTTGGGATATTCTTTGTAAATTGTAGCTTGATTTGCAGCAGATCCATCCTTTAATAATATAGTGATTCTGACTGATCAATTTCATCAGAGGTGAGAGAAGACTTAGGAAAGGCTTCCTGCAGAACTGCAACGAGTGACTTACCAGCATGTCCGCTCAAGGGACAGAAACTGCGTGTACCAAGACTGAATGAGGGAATGTCTGGTCCACATCAGAGGAGATTGGGACCCGAGGAGGCATATGCCATTTTTCTCTGAGAGCAGATCATGTTGACTGAAGACACTTTCTCAATTACAAGCCTAGTCTTTGCCCAGATTTACAGCACGTAATCTCTAAGTAAAGAGAATCGATTTATTTGAGGAGCTTCAGAAAATTCTGATTTGCTTCTGAGCTGTAATGAGTTAGAAATTGCCCTTAAAACTTCAGATTTTGAATCACATGATGTTTTTCAGGCACCTCTGGCTTACACATTACAAACTACAGTAAAAGATTTGTTATCTGGCATGTTGGGGGATTGGAGGGTGCCGGTAAGTCAAAAATTCTGGTTAACTAAGAGGGAGGGAGTTTGGGTGCAGGAGGGGGATCAGGGCTGGGGTTTGGAGAACAGGAGGGGGTGTGGGGCATGGCTCTGGGAGGGAGTTTGCATGTGGGAGGATGCTCGGGCAGAGAGTCGGGGCGCGGGAGAGGTTTTAGAGTGCTGGATCCGGGCAGCGCTCGCTTAGGGCGGTTTCCCACAAGCAGCGACATGTCTCTGCTGCTCCTAGGCGGAGGTGTGGTTAGGTGGCTCTGCGCCTTGCCTCCGCCCGCAGGCGCTGCCCCCACGGCTCCAATTGGCCGCGGTTCCCGGCCAATGGGAGCCGTGGAGCCAGCGCTTGGGGTGGGGGCAGCGCACTGAGCACCCTGTGGCCATTCCTCCACCTAGGAGCAGCAAGGACATATTACCGTTTATAGGGAGCCATGCGGAGCCAGGTAGGGAGCCTGCCGGCCCCGCGCCAACTGGACTGTAAACCCAATGAAGATCAGAAATGCCAGTTTATAGAGCTTTCTAGTTGGTAAAGTGCCAGATAACAGCTTTTACTGTAATAAAGTCAGAAATTTGCACATAGTTTTGACTTACTGTTTTATATCCAGGTGTGGGCGTATGTGTGGTTTGTTGTTTGCCACTTGTAGATGAATACAGTAAGATTCTGAGGAAACTAAAGAGATTGGCCAGCAAACTGGAAGTAATGATCAGATATATTTTTATCTTTCTAATGCGTGAATGTGATGGAGCACTGTGGTATTGAGAAAGGGTGAGTTGGAAGGTTTGCATTCGTACTGGGGCAGAATTAAGATTGCGAGGTGCATGCTGTCTCTAGTATACGGTGTTCTTCTTCAAGTGATTGCTCGTATCGATTTCAGTTAGGTGTGCATGCACTGCATGCACAGCCATCGGAAAGTTTTTCTCCTAGCAGTATCCGTCAGGTCGGCTGTGGAGCCCCCTGAAGTGGCACCTCCATGGCGCTCAACATATGACCCTGCTGACCCGGCACCCCCTCAGTTCCTTCTTACCGCCCGTGATGGAACTGTGGCATCTTGCTCAGCAAGTTCTCCACATGTCCCTAGCTTCATTTAGATAGTAGTTCTGATTTTTGATGGTAGTTTCTTTGTTTTGTTGTAGTTAGTGGCAATTGGGTTGTGGGGGGGGTTTACCCTCCACCCTAGCTGGCTGTCTTTGGGGCTTTCATGCCCAAATCCTCAGGATTTAAGCCCTGCAAATCCTGCTCCAAGCCCATGCCAATGGGCGACCCCCATGACTCTTGTCTGAAACATCTGGGGGAGGCTCACCAAGCCAAGAAGTGCAGGATCTGCCACGAATTTCGTCTTCGGATTCAGGAGGAGCGGGATTTTCGCCTGAAGCAGCTCATTATGGAGGCAGCACTTAGTCCCCAGCCTCCTTCGGCACTGGAGGACCCAGCACTGAGTTCTTCAGTGCACAGAGTCGCGGCGGCGGTGGTGGACTCTGGCCAAGACCCGCGGCACCGCCGCTCCCCGGCACCAAAGCTGGCGTCATCGACCCAGCACCAAAGTGACACCGGAAGCCGGAGAAGGGTGGCTCTCCTGAGCAGAGACCCGGGCCCCTGGAGCCGATCTCTGTGGTGCGTCCTGCGGAGGAGCGCCCAGGAGCGAAGGTCGCGGACGCAGCACCGTTGACTTCAGCCCCACTGGGGGAGCCTTTGAGTCCAGTGCGGTTGGACTCCCGGTCCTCAGCGTGGTGAAAGTTCAGCTACTGTCCACCCTGGACATGTTTGCGGCTGCGAGGGACCTCATCCACTCCACACCAAACCTGCAGTAGCTCAGTGGACAGCACTGTCTTGAGGCAAGCTGGCACTGATCCATCCGTTGGCACCATCAGCTCCGTTGGGCAAACCTCAGCACAGTTTGAGATCCTGGTACTGCTCAGAGTCCTGGCACCGCTCCCCATCGCAGTGCCGGTCGTACTCACAGGCACCTTTCCGGATCACATCAGCGCTCCCGATCACAGCCCTGCTCCACTCGCCTTCGTGGAGCAGGTCCCGGACCTGACGCTGGTTCTGGCACCATTCACCATCTTGGCGCAGCTCCCAGCCACAGTACCGATCTAGGTCCTGGAACTGATCCAGGTCCCGGCACCGCTCCCCAGCCTCGCAGCACTGCTCTCCTTCTCGTCGGCACAGATCCACTTGGCACCACCCTGGCCCTCGTGGTCCCAATCTCATTCCTCGGGTTCAGAGACGGGGTCGCGGCCTTCGGATCGGGACCACC